GTTTTTCGTGCAGACTTGCCGTTGTTGCACCATCAACGGTGAGAACTGTACTACAGCCATATTGATTTAACATGTTCGAATTAAAAAGCACTTTTCAGAAGCTCAGCTGACATTTCATGAGATGAGGAATTTACTGTATTTGGATATTTATCGGTTCAGTGTGGGTTACCACATTACGTCACTTGATAAACCGCAAGATCCGATCAAAATATGGACTGTAGCAGAACGAACGGAGACAAGACGTGCATCACGACAAAAACTATTTCCCTCGTCATTAAAACTGTCCTATGGACACATTGAGGACCTTTCATTTTTCACGTTTGCGCTCACTCCAAAGGGGAATCCCGACGATCGCGGTTTCATCAGAGCAATATAGAAAAGTATGCGTCAGGGATGTGTCAGACGCATTTCTGTGAATGTAACTTTAAAAATGTCGACGCAGAAGACGCCTGTACTGAACGCCAGCGTGGTTGCCAGCGCAACCACAACTAAAAGACGAGAGCAAACGTTTCGCTTCCTAACCATGGCCATTCGCCACATAAGGTTCGGCTGTAAGAACTAACTGTCATTCGTGCGAGCGCGGGTAATTCGGATGCGACGGGCGGCCAGCGGCCGTCGACAATTAGCTCCTTCTGCAGTGGTGAGCATTGATTCCACCGACCCCAAACGGAAATGAAAAAAGCGGACATGACAGAAAAAAGCCGGGGAAGCTTTAAAAAGCGCAGCATGAGGATGTAAAGAGCGGAATCAGAACCGTGGGGAACTTGCAGCTTTGAACAGAGTGGTTACGTCAGCAACTACTACTCCGATCCACGATATCGCCACCTCTTGGTCCTTACTGCTTCGTAAAGGCTAGATAAGCGAAGGGATTCGGCAGTTCGAATGAAATGACTTCAGAATAGACTACACGATAATCAGTATTACAACCTTACTCAATGCCTACTATCGAACGAGCATCAATCTTTCGCATATGTGGACATGTTACACGAATTCTGGACAATACTGCATATTATATGTTGCGGTATTGTTAATATTTAGGTTACTTGATGTTAAGTGACCTCCCTCGCAGGGTTGCTCGGTACTTTCTTAAGTTGGATAGATAGGGTGTCATTTCCAGGCTACTCAT